TGAAATCCAGGGTAGTGAGCTTGCTGTGCACAGTCCTCACTGCCCTGAGGATCTTGAATTCCACCATTTCATGGTCACTGCAACCAAGGCTGCCCTTGAGCTTGACATCCCCTACGATGCCCTTCTTACTGGTGAGAATAAGGGCCAGCATGGCACATCTCCTCGTGGGCTCCTCTGTCACTTGGAGGAGAAAGTTATCATCAACACATTCCAGGAACTTCCTGGATTGTTTGTGCTCTGCTGCATTGTCCCTCCAACAGATGGTGGGGTGGTTGAAGTCCTCCACAAGGACCGGAGCTTGTGAGCATGAGGCTGCTCCTATCTGCCTATAGAGGGCTTCTTCTGCTCCATCCCCCTGGTCAGGTGGCCTGTAGCAGACCCCCGCTATGATGTCCCCTGCCCCAGTGCTTTATCAAACTTGCTTTATCAAACTTAAAGCAATTAACTGAGATGACCTGGTGATAAGATTAGTGTTATTTTATCTGTTTACTGAGTGCTAGCTAGAAATACAGCACCATTAGAAAAGTAAACAAACCAATCAGGGGGGAAGAAAAGAGAAAAAGGAAAAAGGAGAGGATAAGGAAGGCTTGACTTGACTAGGATGTGAAAATAACAATTGCCTTATCTTAGTGTCCTAGAAGCCTGACCTGAGGTTACCATGTGTTACATTAGGTGGTTGCAGAACTAACATGAACACCCCCTCAAAGTGAGATCTGGGGTTACTCAATGAAACACAAGGCGTTTAAGACAGGAATGGTTGAAGCCCAGACAAAGAAAAAAACTCTCACTACTTTGCCCTCTTTGGTTAATATACTACAAAGAAAAAACAGTTACACTAAATCTCAAGGCACTGCTGGATGGAATCAAGGGTTTTGGTCCAAGCAGCATATAACAGGAGGTATGAGCGAAAGCTGTGCTGCTGCCTCAGACTTATAGCGAAATGAATGTGCTTCTTAACATCTCCCACTTGCAGATCTCAGATCCTTGAGGATGCCAGTGAATGAGGCACTGCAAAACCCCAGTGAGTAGGATGTGATTATGATCCCCGTTTCAAAATGGAGGAATGATGCAAAGAAGTTTAATGGTTTGTTCAACATCTCACACAAAAATCAATTGCAGAATTGGATTAGAACTTAATGTGTTCTTTTATTCTCTTCCTTCTCCTCTCCATTGCCTTCCACTATGTCTTTATGATACTGGCAATCACAGATGCAGAGCTTAAAACAGTAGCAACAGCTGGCAGTATCATTGTAGGAAAGCTTCCCACACTGTTCAACCAATATAAAACCACTTTGAAAGCAGGTACAAAAAAAGGCGCCCTGTCTCTCCTCCCTGCAGTTAACAGAGGCATATCTAGTGGCAGGATGACATATAAAATATCAAATTTCATTATGCTGTTGCAAATAAATTGATTTATTTTTTAAGTATAAAGGACTAAATATAAGGATTTATAAAGCAGTAAAGGACTATTTATAAAGAGAAAATATTTTATCTTCTCAGAGCAAAAGGAGATTTTCTGCACAGCCCTGTAAAAATTAAGGAAAATAAAACAAACAGATTATATTGTCTGCTTGTCTAATGTGCAAGACTAAATGATTCTGAAGAGTGCTTATAATTTTGGAAGAAATGTCTGCTCTTGAAATTCTAAATGTGGTTTCTAAAATGATGCTTTGTTCACTGATGGTGTCTTTATTTGTTTCTATTATATTAGGGAGCTCTATTTGTGTTTTTCCTAGAAGTGTATCATCTTGACACACCCAGAATTTGTTAGTACTTGGTGTTTTACCATGGTGTTTACTACTCTGCTCTCATGAGACTCCACTTGGAGTACTGTGTTCAGCTCTGGGGCCCCCAACATAAGAAGGACATGAACCTGCTGGAGTGAGTCCAGAGGAGGGCCACAAAGATGATCAGAGGGCTGGAGCACCTCTCCTGTGAAGACAGGCTGAGAGAGTTGGGCTTGTTCAGCCTGGAGAAGAGAAGGCTCCAGGGAGACCTTATAGCAGCCTTCCAGCATCTAAAGGGGGCCTACAAGAAAGCTGGAGAGCGACTGTTAATATGGGCATGTAGTGATAGGACAAGGGGTAATGGCCTTAAGCTGAAAGATGGTAGATTTAGATTAGATATAAGGAATAAATTCTTCACTGTGAGGGTGGTGAGGCACTGGAACAGGTTGCCCAGAGAGGTTGTGGATGCCCCCTCCCTGGAAGTGTTCAAGGCCAGGCTGGATGGAGCTTTGGGCAACCTGATCTAGTGGAGGGTGTCCGTGCCCATGGCAGGGGGGGTGGAACGGGATGATCTTTAAGGTCCCTTCCCAACCCAAACTATTCTATGATTCTATGAAAATCCATCAAATATATAAAGATTAGGCTACCTACTGATATATTCTCACCAGAGTCATTTTCCTGCTTTGAGCCTTTTTAATGTCCTTGATTATCACTATTTCCATCTCCACTATATGTCCCCATGTCACTGCTCATTTGACATGAAAAAAAAAATCACACTACATCCCTCCTACCCTTCCCAGTTTTCTAGGATTGCATCTTTCTGCATTATCATTGCACTCAGGTGATGTATTCCACCAGTACTGATAACACTGTCAATAAATCATCATTGTATTTAGAGCTGAGTGAATAATGGAAAAATTTGTATTTTACTGGAGAACATCAGAGGTAAAAGTTTTGCTTTAATGCCAGAATATTCGCTCCTGCAGTATAAGTGGGCCTAAAATACTGCTTTGGAGGCTTGTGCTAGGGCCTTCCACATGAGGGTGAACTTCACCCACGAAGGGGAAAAATCATGAAGAAAATTATGAATAATTAAAAAACACAGATAAATCTGAGACTACTGCAACCTACTTGCCAATATTTTAGGAACGGGAAAGAAGGCAAAATCTGATTAATACATTATTCATTATGAGTTATTCCTCAGCTCTGTGCTTTACACATAGACCTAGGTACAAATTGCAGGAGATGTATTCCAGGTAACATTTGCTTCCATGTAAAATTGTATTTTGGTTCTGTGGCAGAATGTAGGTAAATATAACTAGTCCTACTGCTGGTTGGTTCCAATATCACATCTCTACCAGAAGCTTTAGGAATAGTTAAGTACTCCAATAGCTCAAGCTTCCTAAAGTATTAATGATATTCTCTCAGTATTAGCCTTTTCTATTAGAGAATTCTCTTAGCTAGATTATATATTTTGTGTAGGAGTGGAAAAACAATGACCTCTCCAGGATGCTATGTTGAAGCTTATGCTTTTACAGCTATTGGTATGTTGCTCTGGGTGTATCTGATTACCCAATGCCTGAAACAGCTACTGATTTCCTCAGAAACCAGGCCTGGGACTCAGTGATGATAGCTTTCAGACCCAAAGATGCAGGAAAAACAGTCACCAGATCAGAGATTCCCACTATTTCTGAAAGGGCAAAGATGCCTTACTTGCTGGAAACTCTTGTTAGCTTTTTCCCTCTCCTATGATCACAAATCTAAACAAACCACCTTTTTAATAGTTGTAGGCTTGCTTTGGCCTCTCTGACTGTAAACTGATTTTCTGTCTCTGCCATCTGACCCTGAAAACCATCCAGCCTGCCAAAGAGTTGAGGCTCAGAAGCTTTAAGGGTAAATTTTGTACGATGCACAAGTCCAAGTCTGTTGTTTTTTCTGCCTCTCAGCTCTGCCATCTTGACTGTCTTCCAGTTTTGGTCTTGTTTTTCTCATGTGCTATGTTTTTTTATCTCAGATTTGTCAGAAATTTCCTTTGGGGGAGTTTATAGCAATTCTAGGGACATTTTCATAGCTGAGCTTGCAGAAAATTCACCACCTCAGTCGAGATTTTTATACGGTGGTGATGGTGCCCACATGGGAAAAGGCAGACCCTGTGCTGCTTCCGGTGAGCACTTGGATAGATTTATTCCAAGAGCTCCCATCTGGGTAAGATGGGAGCTGGTCTCTCCTGCAATCTCCCCACAAGCTGAAAAACTCCTGCCAAAGCAAGCTGGTGTTTTGGAGGTATCTGTGTGCAGGAAGCAGTGACTGTTTAACAGACACCACTGTGCCTTTAAGCAGAGGAAGAGGAGAAAGGAGAAGGACAAAGAGGGGAGACTGGAATCTGGAAAAGTCTGGTTTCTTCATAAAGCAGCTGCTTCATGCTGGACTCCTCTGAAGGAAAAGGGCTGGCAGCATCCTTTGCCTCTAGCTGCTGGTATTGACACAATCTCCCACTCAGGCCACTGTTGAGTCTACTGGAGCTGGCACGGGCTCCTCAGTCAAGTGTTGTTTTGGCTCAGAGAAGTCTTTCAGGCTCCCCTCTGTCACCATAAAGCAACAGAAAAGGTCACAAGGCTATCTGCTAGTTTGTTTTCACTTTGTCTTTTGCAGGGAACCATAAAAGCCCAAGCCCACATTACCCTTCCAGATTTCAGTTTAACAATCTGCATGGTATCAAGTGTCTCCAGCCCCCTATGCCAGACTCCTCACCAATACTTACCACTCACATCAGAGATATCCAGTCTCTACAGCCCTCCCCATCCTGCCTCAGATGATGAGAACTGTTGACCTAGCACTCTCACTACCCAATTAGTACTAGAAAAAGTGAAAAAACACGGATGCGAGTGACTAGTGCCTATATATGTTGTGCATTAAGCAGTATCTCTCCTTCATTCCCAAAGAAACACAAAAGTACCTTGTGATTTTAAATATTCTTAGGAGTCGAACACATCTCAACACCGAAATGCCCAGTGGTGACATGATCTTTGTCTCAACCAGAATTGTTTCCAGGATTCCTCCACACACGATGAAACAGTCGAAGCGGTTGAAGAGGGACACAAAATAGGCCTGGAGACCAAGGCTGTACATCTTCAGCAGCATCTCTGCCGTGAAAAGAGCTAGCAGCACCTTATTGGCAGTGTCTCATGAAAAGCAAACAGAAGCAGATTAATGAAACTTAGTCAAAAGATCATCACAGCTACCCATTGGCCCTTGCCTATAAGGAATGCCTTGTGGGATCAGTCTGAAAGGTTAACTTCATATAAACTTGTGTCAAAGAACGGACTTCAAAAGCGTAGGCATCTCATTCACAGAAATGTTTTACAAAGATGCTTACAGCGATTCTTAATGTATTGCACATACAGCTGCGATGTATTACACAACCACGCAACCTCCATGGCAGGGACATGCCTTCCTGTGCACAACCTCCCATCACATTTGTTATCTGCAGATGAGAGTGGGAATAGAAGAGCTGCTGTGCTACCTACTGTTGCTTAATTAAGCCTTTCAGATGCTCTCACCTCCAGTGAGGATTCAACTGCTCTGCAGACAGAACTTTACAAATCACTCTTCCTCACCTCCCTGGTAACTAGAATTTATCATAAATGCCATTTCAGGGAAAACCTTGGAGAACCTGTGGCTCCCAGTAGCTATCCATAAATTGGAAATCCAGTTACTGCAAATACATATTTAGCATAAGCTCCTGATTTCACCTACACCCAGTGGAACACTGCTGTGCCTGGAAATAAGGAATTTGTGTTCTCCCTGACGCTTCTCGCATTGTAGGCAGATATTTTGTCGTATTATTTAACATCCTCCACAGACAGAGGACTATTTGGAGCTGTGTATGCTCCCTTTACATTGTGTGGTCTAATGCATCAGCTCCTCCCTCCGCCCCCTTTTTTGACACTGACCACAATAAACAGAACCATCAGCCTCTCCTCACCTTGGACCTCCGTGAGCCAGTCTGGCTGGTTGTAGTGTTCAGAGGCAATGGTAAGGGTGTTGAGAAACACAAGGAAGATCACCAACCAGTAGAAAACATTGGACTTGACAGCAGCGCGGCACTTTCTTCTGCAGAATCGATTCCATCGGCGCCAGTAGCGACTTGAAAAATTGGAAAAGGAAAAGTTCTTTTCAGATAGGGATCCTTAGGCTATTGCAAATCTCTGTCAAGAGAGATTCTAGTCATGATTTATTGTTCAAGAGTGATAGAGAATAACTTTGAAGTTCACCCTGAGAAATGTTCTCTCATTCTCATCTGAGTTGACAGTTGTGATCATCCTTCCTTTAGCTAAGGAATAAAGTTAGTCCTAAGCCAATTTGCAACATTCGGGGGTGAATAAACCTCTTCAAGCAATACCTTAATTTGATTAAGACATCCATCGCAGCTACCCTGAGAGGTTTTTTAGCCCAGTTCCCACAAAAATAATTATTCTTCTTGTATTTAATGCTTGTGGCCTGCAATAGAAACTCGCCCAGCCTCAGGATAGTCAATCAAAAGATAATCCAAAGGTCCATGGTATATAGCGGGTAAGTCCTTAGAGAGGTGAGGTCAATAAAATCCATGGAACATTTCCAAAATTCAGCAATGTTCAGGAGTAAGCCCAATACAAGGACTAACTCTGAACAGAAAAACAAAACTGAGGGGACCGCAGCATCTCACCTTCATGCCTGGAACTAAGGATACCATTTGCTAATCAACAGATCTTTTAAAGTTTGCCTTCCATGAACACATCCCCTTGTGTCACTGATTTCTGAGGGTAATTACTAACCACAGAAGATATTTAAAGCTAATTACACACCTCCTACTCTTCAGAATTTAACTTGCATAGCAACCAGTTTCCAGGCAACACTTGCCACTGTATAATAAATCTAATAGTTTTATATAGATATTATATACATATATGTGTGTGCACGCATATGTGTCTCTAAAGATACACACACATACACAACATTACCAGAAAACAGAACTTTTCTTGGCTAGTCATCTCTTATGTGTTATTTCCAGTGATAAACTATGGCTGTGCTTGAGGTCAGGGTTCAGTGTCTATATCAACTAAAGCCAGGCAATGTGAACATTGCACACTGGCCAAGAAATTCACAACAGCTTTTTAACAGGTAATCAAATCCAGGCTGTTTTAGCTATGCAATTTATAAAGGCACCCAGTCTAGCTAGCACAAACATTTAATAAGGGTTGTGTGTTTTGCAGCAGATTTGGGACAAGAAATGATCTTCCCAACTTTCAAAATGGGCACAACACTTAGACATTCATGTTGTCATTAAATCATTAGCAATCCCACACACTTTTGTGCACAAATATGCGTGCACGTGACTATATGATGATACAAGTGCATTTTGTTCTCATATCTACATACAAATAAATCCATGGACTGTAGGAATGTGATCATGTATGCAATTCTTTGCACAGGGGTGCACATAGGCAGTATGGACGCGTATGTGCATTCCTGAATTTACATTACCATTCACGATTTAGGTAAGTTGAAGGACAGAGTTGCTCACTTGTTCCAGTTATTCTGAAAATGTATTTAGTTTTTTATAAAATTAACTTTGAATTCAGAGTTATGGGGGCAGCTGGACTCCTACTGAAGAGGCAGAAATGAACCGAGACCTCAACAACCAAGTTCTGTGAGTTCAGTCAGCCTTTCCAATAGAAACCCACAGATGACCACCTGGGGGACTGCTTCACATTTTCAAAAGCTTTAAGTCAACAGAAAAATAAATACCACCAGAAAAACTCCACATGTCCCATGGTGAAAGGGAGAATTTCACGAGTAAGATGCAAAACTCGTCAGTTGAAAGATTTACAATCAAGCAAAGCGAAGTAGTGCAACAAAGTGTAGGAAAGAGAACCTTGAGCTGACAGGGTTGATGTGGATGGATGTAGTATAATTATGTGGTTGCACTTTTTTTTCTTCTGCTTTTATATTTTATGGCTTGAGATATGTAGGTAGCAATCAGATAGGTGCTTCTGAGTGAAATACTGTCAGTAGTCCCTGTGCCTTATTTCAGTATGAAACTAAGAAAAAGGATCTTGATTTTTTGTAGATGACTGACTAAAATCTGACAAGTTTGGCAGTGTCTCCTAGAATCACCACTGTGCCCGACAGATGCAGGAGTAAACCACAAAGTAAAGAACAAAAGCCATGGAAAGGAGAAAAAGCAAAAGTCAGTTTTACTTACCTAAACTTTGATTTTGAGATCCGATGCCTGAAAGATAAGAATTGCCATTAAAGTCTCTGAAGCTGTCCCATGCCTCCCAGACTTTTATGAAAACAGAAAGAAAGCTCAATTAATTTTTTAGTGGATGCTGTTTTGCTCTTGAATCTCCTGTAAGTCAGTGCAAGCACTGGGCATGGCTAGAATTCCCTGATATACAAATCTTATTGTTTGGCAGGAGTCATGAAGCAGGAGTCATGCCATGATGGGATTCTACCACCTACAGACATCAGTGAACTAGTTTTTGTCTTGGGTAAAAGGCTGGCCTGATGCTAGAGGCACTCTACATCTGCTACCAATTTTATTTTTCAAGTATGACTCTTTTTTTTAGTCATTAGGGTTTTTCTTATATTAATATATGTATGAATTTATACAGACAGACTTGTTCCTTTCAGACATCACCTGTCACTTCAGGATATATAAGCATATTATGAAACCATGGGGAAAACAATTTTTCTTTTTTCCAGTAACTGAAGGAAAAAACAGTGCATGGTGGATATTTTAAAACTTAGATACTAACACTTATTTGTCTTTGTTATCTATGTGGATTGGTTTGAATTCAAAAGAATCTCCACAATAACAGATTCTGTTGCTATCAATGAAATTTTGGGAATTAAGCATTCCTGAAAATTTGTCCGTGCTTCCACTATATATGTGTTTAAATATCTAATTTCATGCACTTGGATTTATTCAGCTAAATCATCTCATTAGCCTTTTATGAGAAGTCACAGGCAAAGCTAGAGATAGATTCCAGTTCTCTAACCGCTACCTTGCTCTGCTTGACACATGTCCTATAAGGCCTTTGAACTCTTTGGCTGTCTCTTGGTACATACATAATGGCGCACAGAGAGAAATAAGTGTATGTGGATGCAATGACATGAGACAGAGGTGATTTAGGAAGCTGCAAAATCCGCTACCAATAACAGAAGAAATGAGAATCTAGGGAGTGACTATGAACAAGATATTTCTGCTGGGTTGAAGCATTTCTTTAGGTTCCCTCTATGATAGGAAAGAGATTCATTGTTGACAACAGTCAGCAAAGGTCTTACTGTACTGCTTAAAAATGGATTCGTTGTTAGCACACATGGGACAAAACAATTCTCAAAGCATCTAACACTACTTTCAGCAGCAGTCTTAAAAATGGCCACGTCCCTGCTTGAGGACATCAGTCACTGACAAGTAATCAGTGATGGGTCAGCTTCCTTACGTGGAAGAGATTTTAGTGATGGGAACATTTCACCAGCAGATGGTCTAAGCCAAAAAAAAAAACCAACAAACCTTTGCACTTTTTTTGCTGTGTCACAGGCAGCTTGTCTAGGCCACATACTAGGCAGCAGTGTGGTTACAGACACATGCAAGAACTCTTTTGATAAAGAGGAAATAATGCACTTACTGAACAGAATGCTAAATTTTGCTGCAGAGACAAAGCGAGCTTTAACAAGGATGACAAGCAAAGCACCTACAAAGCACTTCCTAAAAGTTAAAGCAATCCCAACCTCTCACTGAGAATTCTTGCTTGATAAGCGCTACCTACAAACTGCAATGGATCAGATTTACAGGCAACAGGATAGAAGGCTCAAAGACAGGAAAGAAAAAGAAGAAAAAAAAAATCACAATGAAGGAGAAAGCTGGGCACTGAAAATGAGAGGGCAAGGACTTTCATAGGAAAAGGTTATGGGGTCGGGGAGGAAAAGAGAGCAAGACAGATGTCCTGGGGAACCTGCCTGGTGGAAGGTGAAGGACAGGGAGTGTGAAGTCCTCTGGTGACCTCTCTGGTAATGGTTTCCCAGTAAGGGAGCTGTGTGACATTTAAGGAATCTTTTATTTATTTAAGCAAAAGAGATGTGGCAGGTGTAGTACTCATCATGCATGTGATAATTGTATCTTTGGAGCATTATGAGCAGCAGCCAAGTGCATTCAGTGCTCCCACAGGTTAGCTACAGCCTTCCCCCCCTTGCCTTACTGCTATGGCAGAAGGCTTTATCACATGTGGGTGTGCTATATATATAGAACAGGACAAGGAAGGAGGAAGAGATTTATATTTAGAGGCAGAATCCAAGAGTGAAATGGGATTTTGGAAACACAAACTGTACAATAACTGATTCTGAAAACATTATGCCCAAATCTGAAACACATTTTTCAAATGATCAAGAATATTTTGTCTTTCAGAACTGGGGTTTATTACGTCATATAAAAATGCTTTTATGGTGTCACTAGGGGTTGTCAAATAGCCGGCATTTGGGGCCTTGCCATGGCCTCTTTGTGACACTCTAAACCAGCACTTGCCAGGGGTTCAGGTTGGACTAGATTATCTGCTGAGTTTAACAATGGTTCTCTTGCATCCCTACTACCCTGGGAACGTTATGTCACTGGGAGAAAGAGAGTTGTCCCCATTTGTGTACATTTTTGGAATGTCTTGAGAAACTATTGTTTAAAATCATGATGTAGGAGCCTATATGAAAACCATTTAAGATCACTAGTGAGTGTTTTTATCATAGGAAACATGTAACTCAATTATCTTGTAGAGAGACAAACACAAAAATCAGACCTCTATTGTTTGATTAGCTATCTTTTACATTCTCGAAAACTCTTCTAATCTTACATAGTTATGTACCACATACAGATAAAACAGTGAAATTTATAGATTTTATCAACATAAACTCCAGATAATCAGCATAATTCAAATGCAGTGAGATATCCCACATTCTGAGAGATAAAGTCTTTGTTTCTCTGTTCATGGTGGACACCAGAGAAGAGAAACTATGCACTTGTGAAGGATGTGACACTCTTATACAACAGGGATTGAGGACTTTGTGTAATTGTACACATAACAAACAATTCTGGAAAGATCTTGCAGGTCTCCAAGCATGACACAAAAGCCATGTTCTAGGTGTAGAAATTACTAAACATTCTCTGGCATGCTGGTCACAACTACTTTTATGCTATATGATCCTGCCTATAGGCAACTGTCTTCAAGAGGACTTACAAAAGCCCTTGCATACTAGTAGAAGCTCTCAGAAAAGTGGTAACACCGAAATTTACTTACTATGCCTCTAGGTTATACACAACTTTGGGAAACATTCAAAGACCTGCACTGTGCACATCTTACAGATTTTAGAACTGTGATAACACAGTCCTGGTGTGATATTGATTCTGTTTTGGTGCAATATGGTGCATTCATGCAGTTACTGGTCAAGTGGCACAACATTTTTCCCTCTCTCTATTCCTGCTGATGACATTTCATTGCTTCTAGTCAAGATGCTGGCATCCCTGAAGAGAAGATGCCCACCCTAGGGTCCTTTTTTCCCCACATATTACCGGGACAAGAGCATTAGTGACATGACATTTTCAGGAATGTATGCTGCATATCTCATAATCTCTCAGCCTGATACAGTGTTAGCGCTAAGTTCTACCCTCAGCTATGCCTCTGCGATTCACACTGAAGCAATGGGCTTCCATCCTTCTGCCTGCTATCCTCCATACAACACAATTAACACTGGGGAGTTGTACAGGGACAGGCAATGACCATTTCTTATTTCTGACCATTAATTAAAAGCTTCTAGCAAAACAGAACAGATGACTGGCCCTGGAGATGTTGCGTTCTGATGTGGACTGAGATCCTCCTGCTGAGGCAATCACTGAATTTCAGCAGAGTCCATACAGCGATGCCTCTTCTCTTTCTTTACATTCTTGCCCTTCTTGCAGAGACACTGGACAGCATGCTGACCTGACTGGAGTGATGCTGATTTTAAGAGAGAGGTGGTTGTTGGCCCGCAATAGTAAGAATCTACAGAATATCCTTATGAAAACTGGATGTGTCTAGCTTAAAATTGAGCTGGTTTGCTATTCCACAGGTTTTTTTACAGGCTGGGAAAATAGGCCAGCGTTCAGTACTTAGTGAATAATCTTGCTCTCCCTGTGGCAAGTCACAGGCAAGGCCTGTCACAGAATCCGAAGTAGGAAGACAATTCCTCCTCCACAAGGGCATGCTATTGTCCTTTAGACACATCTAGAGCTGACTGTGAATATCAAAAGCACCTTGCTCATAATACATCGGAGAGCAGTAGCTGAGGCTGACACACAAGAGTTGAT